TATGTATGAAATACTCATTTGATCAATTAATGACATTTCTGGTTAGTAATCTACAACCCAGTGGAGAGGGGAATGAATCGCCTTTTAACACCATCTCCACAATAAACTCCAAGACAATAAAGAATGATGAGGCGTTGAAAAGAATTATAGTTTAGTGTCAAAACCAAGAAGCTCAGCACAAGCTGGAGGCTTCAAAGCAGCTGTTTCCTGCGCCGGGTGCTCCAGGGGCCTTTCCATAGTCACCTTAGAGAGTCGGAGTTGTTTTTAGCCAGAGCACTGCCCAGGTTTAACACCTTCCCATTCTGTTCTGGCATTACAAAGGTGCTCATTGTTGCTCGTTTCTTTTGTTTACTGTCACTTTCCCATTCAAGCGAGTTCTGAAATGTACCCATTGCAACATGCATCTTTTATCACTCTGCCATGGGGATATTTTCCTAAGAAAATAAATTTCCACTTACCACTTACCAAACCCTTGCACGTGTGGTGTGGTATGGTATGTACAGTGGTTACCAACATGGGGCACATGCCCCACAGGGGGGCAATTTGATTTTTAAGGTGGGCAATTGAAGCATGAGATATTAACTGATTTTTTTTTGCATTTCTTATGGTTTTAGGAGCCTTATATACAGCATATAAATATATATTGTGGCATATTTATGCATTTCAGTTCTCTATTATCTGTTTTGAAACTTTATTTGCTATTTTCATATCAATTTATATTATTATTATTTTTAACAATTCCTTAGTGATTTCTTCCTCAGTACTTCAACTGTCCTTTCGTTCTTTTATTTTTCTCTTTCATGGTGCCATGTTCTTTGGAAGATGTTTAGACCAATTTAATGGCTCTTTTAGGCTTCCTCCACAGGAATAGGAGGTCACTTTTTTAATAATAAGAATTATATGTCACGGGGAGGGGGGGGGGCGGATTTTAGGGATGTTTAAGTGGGGCATGGCCAAAAAACGGGGGGAACCACTAATCTAGCGTCTTATTTGAACTTCACAACAACCTTAGAAAGGAGGAGAGGTTACTCAGATTTTCCCCTCTGCAGAGCAGGCTGAGAAAGGTGAAAGGATTTGCCCGAAGTTGCACAGCTAGGAAGGGGCTTGGATTCTAACCCACTCCAACTCCCCACTGAGCTTCCCGCGACCCAAACA